TGTTATGGATTAGATTCCCACAAAATATGTTGGACTCCAAACTTCTATATGTCTGCTTGGAAGTAGGGTTTCTTTGTTATTAATGAGACCAGATCAGTGTAGTGTGTGTCCTAAGCCTAACTGTTTCTTAGTTATTTTTTTAAAAAAAGATTAGATACACACAAGAGAAGAGAGATGCTGTGTAAAATTACTGTACAAGACTTCATTAAAATGTTGACGCACAAGGATATCATTTTGAGGACTAAAATTCACCTGACCCCAGCCATGCTATTTTCAATCACCTCGTATGCATGTGAAAGTTAAACAATGAATAAAGAAGATGGTAGAAGAATTCATGCACTTGAGTTACAGTCCTGGCGAAGAATACTAAAAGTATCTGTCAAAAGAGCCCTGGTGGCTTAGTGGCTCCATGTCGGTCTGTTAGCCGCAAGTCAGCAGTTGGAAACCACCAGATGCTTTGTGGCTTTCCACTCCCATAAAGAGTTACAGTCTGAGAAATCCACAGGGGCAGTTGTACCCTGTCCTATAGGATCTCCTTGAGTCGGAATTGCCTTCATGGCAATGAATTTGGTTTGGGTTTTGATGGACTGACAAAACGAACAAATCTGTCTTAGAAGTACAGCCAGAATTCTCCTTAGAAGTAACGATGGCAAGACTTTGTCTCATGCACTTTGGGCATGTTAGCAAGAGACATTAGTCCCTGGGAAAGGACATCATGCTTGGTGAAGTGGAGAGTCACCAAAGAAAAGGACGACTCTGAAGGAGATGGATGGACACATGCCTGAAGCAATGAACTCTGACATAGATTGTGAGGATGGTGCATGACTGAGCAGTGCTTTGTTCTGTTGTACATAGGGTTCCTATGAGTCAGAACTGACTTGAGGACACTTAATGTCAACCACAACATTGCACTGAAGTTTAATAATGGGAGATCCGATCAAAGGGTCACATGACTGAGACTTTGAGTGTCAACTAAGAAGTTTGTTGTTAGTTGCCCTGGAGTCAATTCTGACTCATGGTGACACCAAAATTGCAGGGTAGAACTACTTCATTGGGTCTCCAAGGCTGTGACCTTTGGGAAGGGGACCACCAGGTCTGCCTTTAGAGTCACCTCCAGAAGTTTCGAACAGCCAAGCTTTCAGTCAAAAGATGAATATTTGGATGAACAACAGAAACATGGGTGAAGAGAGACAGCAGACAATGTAA